GGTATGAGCTGGTGAATGTAACATGATAAATGTTGCTATGGTGTGAACCCGGGTTTCTCTATAATTTACAGTATTGGAGTCGGAAGGCAAGGTTTTACTCATAGTGGATCTTGAATAAATAAAAAGATGATCTCTTACTTGGGTATCAGTTTAATTATCGATTAACATATTTAATATCTGCAGCTTTTTTAATACTGTACTGTATATACAGTTCAATTTTATTTTATACATTAATTATAAATCTTTAATCTCCGGATTTCTGTTTATTGATGTTGTACATTTAGTTCTTTGTCCCTTTATATTTTTCTGAAAAATATTTGCAATGTTACAGAGGGCAACTAATTAGTGTATTGGCAAGCTGTGTAGCTGCATTATTCAATAGCAAATGCAGCCAATTAGAGAGTGCATGTCTATAAATTAAAAAACTATTGTGTTGGCCATTATGATTTGCGCACAAGTGTACATGATGAATCATGTTGTTGAACATTTGTTTTACTGGCCCCATGGATGAACACTGCATAGCCAGGGCAGGTCAACATTCTGCATTAATGCATTAAGGATCTTTTCAAACATCCCTGTTGGGTCATACTGATGCAAGGAAAACTTGGAAAATACGAAATTCAACCTGGAATGATCCCTAGAAAATGTATTCATATACAGTTGAAGCCTTCTGTGCTGCTAGTTTGCATCACAGGGACTGCCAAACAGTGCTCTTGCTGATTACTAGTTGGCCTCCACATTTTTCCCTAGACCACCACCATATTGCAGCACCTGTGCATTAATAGGATTCTCTGAGTGAGCCACTTTAAATTCTCCCCCCCCCCCCCCCTTCCTTCCATGGTGTCGCCTTGTCATGGCGAGGGGGGCTCATGCACACCTCCCTGGGACCGATGAGGGTTGCATTCGCCCCCTCTCTTGCCCTTCTTTGTGTGTTGTACATGCGAACGGGCACCAATGTAGAGTCCCTGTGAGTCAACAGACTACCCGCTGGAGGGGCTGCCCTAAGTGGATGGTTGGGTGTCCAGGTTAGGGCGAAAGGGAGAAGGAGGTCTTTGATCACCAAGCTACTTCAGTGACCCTACCGACTACCCTTCTCTCATCCCCTTACACCTCTGTGGCGGGGTTGAGCCCCAAGCCCCCCTGTGGTGACCACCTCATCACCTGGAGCGGCTCCTTCTCTCATTATGATAAATGTGTCTTTTACCCTCCCACAAACGCACTGGCACGATTCCTTATAGTGCTAATACGTGCCATGCCTAGTTTGGTCCTGCTACATGAACTAAATACTTTGATCACAACCATCTAGATTTTACACATCCTGGCAATTTCTTCCTCCATAAACACCTTGATTTAGTGGATGTCTGTTACTTTTAACCCCAACTGTACTAGTACACATGCTTTGCTGCTGCTCCTCAGAAAACAGCTGCCTGCTTAGCTGTATTGTCTAGCATTTTGGAGATCCCTGTTAGGCTCTCCAAAAATGCCTGGTTATATGGTAGTATTGGCACTGTTATCCTCCTGCACCATGGAGTGACTAGTGTTAGGGACCCAAAAGACTGCCACGAGGATATTAAGCATATCCTTGAAGCCTAAGGCCAGTCTGTCCTCGAGGTTGATATTCTCACTTGACCCTCTCGTGGTCGTTGTCATCAGCCTCTTCTAGTTTTGAAGATCACTTTTGATAGGACTCTTCCACCTTTTATAATTCTTGCTGGTGCCAGATGATCCGTTCAGGAGTATATTTCCTCTCCTAGACTTTGCAATAAGTGCTGGAAATTTGGGCATGGTGCCCTCAAATGCACAAGTGCACTGTGTCTATGCCCCGTGTGTGGGGACTCTGGACACTAAGATGGAGTGCTCTTCTTCCCAGGCTCACTGCATCAATTACAATAATGCCCTCCATACCTTCTCCTGCATGTGTATGCATTACAAATTTGAGGAAGCCATCCTCAATTTGAAACACCGCGACGGTCTCGCTTCATGCAGGTCGGCATTTAATCCCCGACCGTCCAAGAAGTTGGGCACCATTCCCTCCCCCATACCCCGTCCCATCCCAAATCCTTATCCTGACCCCTTCCAAGTGCTATATAGTCGTAATGGCTTGACATTTTCCCCTGATAGTTCACTCCCCCCCCCCCCCCAAAAAAAAAAAACTTTAGTCTGCCCAGGCCCTCTGTGGTTCTACAGCAGCTGGCTCAGATGGCATTCATTAAGAGGTGCTTTGCCGTCTCGCTATTAACTAAATCTGTATAACCGTATCTGCGAGTCATCGTCAGTCCCCGAGGACTGGGTTGAGGCGGTGGTTCTTCCTATTCAGAAATCAGGGTCTCTAGGAACATCTCCTAAGGTCTTCTACCCTATTGCTCTCATGAGTATTTTGCAAACTCTTGAACATATGGTCAATGTCTATCTGATGTTCCTGGAACACTATCACTACCTCTTCCCTTGTCAATTTGGCTTTCACCAGTGCCACAGCACGACTGATGTCTTGGTGAACTGGGAGGTCTATATTCGTACTACTTTTGTTGTGAAGACCTCCGTTGTTGCTGTCCTTTTTGACCTGGAAAAGGCATACGGCACCACCTGGAGATACCACATTGTCCCAACGCTGTTCTTTTGGCCTTCTTGGTAATCCCCCTCTCTTCCTACAAAGCTTCCTCTAGTCGTTCCTTTAGTGTGAGGCTTGGTACTGCTCTCTCTGCCTCTTTTTGGCAATATAAAGGTATACCCCAAGGTAGTGTTCAGCACCACTATTTTTTTTTTTTTTTTTTTTTTTTTTTTTTTTCTCTCTCCCTCTTGTCTTCAATGGTTTTCTTTCCTCCCTTCCCTCTGGCATCTTCTCAGTGCTCTATGTGGATGATCTTACCCTTTACTGTCGGGGTGATGACTCGCCTTTCCTTTAACGACGTCTTCAACTTGCGATTGTTGCCGTGTCATCTTGGATCACCAATCATAGCTTCAAGTTCTCTGCAACTAAGACTTGTGCTATGACTTTTACTCGGAAGCAGGTGGTTCTTCATCCCTCTTGGTGGCTTCATAGTCATCCCCTCGTGTACAAAGATTCCACTAAACTTTTGGGGTTAATCTTTGACACTTGTTTATCTTGGTAACCCCATATCTCTTACCTCTGAGTTAAATGCTCTAAGGCCCTTAACCTACTTGAGGTTTTGTCCTATACTTCTTGGGGGAGCAGATATTTAGCGCATATGATTATTCTGCACATTTGATGGTGCTACATAGCCTTCCTGGCTTGGTGCGCCTTCCTTTGATAATTACTTTAAACCTTGAAGAGATTGCATGTAAGAATGAGTATTAGGTGATCGTGGCTTATTTAAATTTTGACAAATCATTTGATATGTTGATAGAGAAGGACTAGAGTTTGACACAAGTACATACGGAGTAACTCCAGTCAGGATAAGGGGGCAAATTTGATGATAGTTTCACTTTAAGGACTATTTTAAAATCTAGCAAATGTGAGCGAGCTTTTGATGAAAGTTATGGTGCAGTATTTAATTTCTCATTGGTGGACAACTGTTTGTAATTTTTCATTAATAAATAATGTAAATGAAGACAGTAGCTTGTACCCAAGAGCTTTCTGTAAGCCATTTCCTCTTTCATGTTCCCAATACAGTTAATATTTTATTATGTCTAATTATTGGTATTAAAAGTAAATGGCATTTTAAAATAATTTGCTATACATTATCACATCTGTACTGCATTGGTGGTGGTTGTGTGTGCGTGTGTGTATGTAAGTGTGTATGTGTGTGTTGTTCCTAATGGGGGCCAAGTTGCCTAAGAAGCCAAATTTGTCAAATATTTTTTTCTTACGGAATGATACAGCTTTCCATTACAGCAATTTTTTTATTAAAAAATAACAAATTTGATAAACCTGATCTAGCCTAACATAACCTAAGTCAGTAATTCATGTTTCTAATAAAATAGATTATTGTTGTTAAAAAGAACCAATCTGGAAAGAAATATTTGAAGGTAACAAAAATCATTTGGCCTGTTGGGCAAATAATTTGAACTTGCATACTAGGCCAAGTAGTGTGGTTCTGGCTATTAGGCTTTTATTATATATAAATGTGTGTGTGTATATGTATGTATACAAAGTACTGTACATACATATATTCACACACACAAACACACACCTCCCTCCCTCCCCTTTGGCGGGACCAAAGAGCCAAGGCTCAAACCCCCTCCCCCCCTCCCCTCCCCCCCCTTCCCCTGCAAGCACACAGACATATATATTGACAGTACATATGCTGTATATAGTATATCATTATATTAATGAAATAATTTTTGTATAGTAATAGTTTGTGTGCTTGAAATGGGGGGATATAAGTTTGAAAGTAGATTAAGAGAGAGATTGAGCCATTGCTGCAGTCAGTCTTAATTATTGCTTGGTTTATGAAGCTTCTGAAATTTAAAGATTTAGTGAAATGGCAACTAGCATAGATAAAGGAATACTGTTCGTACTGTATATAGAAAACACCGACCTTAGATATTGTAGTACACAACCACTTCAAACTGAAGTTAACAAATGATAATATTATTACCAGATCATAGAAGTATAGTATATAATTTTGCTAACTGAATTTTTACAAGAACTGTAACTTAATTTTCAACCAAGGCACTTTAAGATGTTTATATTATTGATTATTTTGTAAGAGATACTATCAGTTATCCATACCAATTTTTGTTGCATAGCTTGTGGAGTAAAATATTTAAATTTTATCAGTGTTGTAACTTTATGCATAAAATTTATAGAATGTTAAAATCTTCATACAATTAACAGTAATGCAGTTCTAAGAAAAGTATGCCTTTTTAAACTAAAACATCACTTAATGTTGTTTCTCATTACATCAGTATTGATCTGTTATGAAATTTAAGAATATTTATCAAGTAATTAAATAAAGCAATATAGTACTCTTATGGTAATATAGACAAATACGTTGTATGATTAAATAATGAGTGGATATTTTTTAAATTTTCTGCAGGTATCTAGGAATTCTGGCCCTGTTCGTGACATTGATCCTGGGACTGCAGATCAGCTTGTTCTCATCACTCAGCTACGAGAACAGATTGCTCGACTTGAAAAGCAGCTTTCTGGAAAAGACGCGCAACTCTTAGCAAAGGATAAACAGGCAAGTAGCATAAATTGGCTTTCAAGAATTAGGACATTTTTACTTTGCTAATTTGTTTTTTTATATTGTATACTGTACAGTGATATGGATATATATCTATTTGGTCTTGTGGGACATGTTCTGAGGCTATTTGACTGTGTGCGTGAGAATTTACAAGCTCATAACTCCATGCTATGATTTAACCTTTTTGCATGACAACAATGGTTTGTTAACTGGCTCTTTTTATACATGGTTTCATTTCATTTGATCTTTGGGGGAGTTTGATGAAAACAACCAAGCTCTGGTATCAAACTGTTTTACAGATCAGTGTGGAGGATCTGGTTGTGGCAAGGTTGTCTGAATATAATGTGATATCATTAAGCATTTGAAAAACCTAGCCCAGTTGGGTTTTTCATACATTTATTACTTGGAACATTAGAGTTCAGAAAGTGGGTATTATATACTGTGCATACAGTGATCTGTTGCTTGAAAAATCAAGTGGTTACGAAACTTTTCTTTGCTAGGAGACAATTTTAAAGTTATTCTATATTGGTGCTATTTTGCCTTTTTATTTGTACAGAAGGTGCGTGCACATGCACATTATGAAATCAAAATCACATTTGTTTTTTCTGGGAGAGCTTCCTCAATAGCTCCCCAATGCTAAGTGGTGATAAAGTCATGCATTAGGGAAATGTACAGGGCTCAAGGATGAAGCTTGCCCTACCACAGCCTTTGTCCATCTTGTACCCCAGACCATTCCTCCTGCAAATTTGGGTGAGGCTAGCCCCAAGCATCTAGTCTCCAACTTTGGACATACACATTATTTCTTATACATGTTTCATTGAATATGATTATATATTCTGTATTAATTATTGTCTTGTTTAGGGCTTCTATCCCTCTGACTACTGTTCTAGCATCTTGGTTTAATTGGAAGAGGAGTTCTCCAAATTCTCTTATAGGTATAGATTGACAGTAATATGAAGCATAAGTATTTACATTTTTACATTATTTTATGATTTAGCTGTATGTAATCATTGGAGTGTGCATGAACCCTCTAGTGGGTGACCTGGGAACATTTTCCAATAGCCAGTAATTTGTCACAACTGTGAACGATGAACTTTAATACAGTACATATTATAGTATAGGTATTTAATTAATAATTTGATTATATTTGAAAGGCAAGGACAGGCAGTGCTCCAAATATTTATAAAAATTATTAGAATTTTAATTGTAGAAAAATTTCTGCGAAGATGTTTTAAGCTTAGTTCAGTATCAGTATAGCCATGATAATGCTTTTGTGCATAAACAAAAGTAGCAAAAATATTATATGTTGATGCCATGGTTTTATTCATTGCAGATGACTGAATTAAAAGCAACTCAGTTTACGGTTCTGCAAGAACTTCGTCAAAAGATGAAAAACTTCAACCGTGACTATGATAGTAAAGTTGATCTCCTCCAGAAAAAAATTCGGGAACAGAACCGTGAAATTGCCGTTTTAAGCAAAGGTAAAAAGAAAGGAGACAGGGGTGCTGTGCTGTCGGCAACGGACGGAGGCTCCTCTGGAACAGACAGCCCTTCGGTTGGGTAGTAACATTTATAATAAAAGGGGCACTTCCATGATCATATTTCCTCAGGTGGTAAAGCTTATAAGGTTTTTGTGTTTTGGCTGGTCTCTCTGGATTACATAAATAATCTATATAGGGTATATTTTTTGAGGAAAGAAAATTGATGTAATTAGACGTTAACAGATGCATGTTCATGCATATGGATGGTACACGTGCATGTAAGCATTTATTCATTATTATATGCATGTGCACAATTGTATTCATTCATGTACTCATACTCAGAAATGCATATTGTGAATGCATTTATTGACAACAGTATTCTCTGGCAGTGTAACAACATTGTTGAGGCATGACATGCATGCATGTACTTGTGTTTGACGACACAAGCATACACACTCACATGCACATACTCATAAATTTATTATAAATTTAGAATTGTAACCATATGTCCTTCTAATTAAGGCTTGTCTATTTAATTACTAAATGTAACAAAAAAATAGTTTTGATAGTTCATTCCATAATTAGTCATATTTTTAATATAGTGCATTTTTTAATTATTTGCATATTAAAATTATTTTAAAATTGTTTTAGTAATTTATCTCCATCAGTATTATTATTGTAGTATGGTATATTTTTTTAATGAAAATGGAAAGTGCAGCAAATACATTTGTTAGTTTGAGGTTATGGAAGTGCCTGGAGTGTTGAAATTGTTTAGCTGTGTGTGTGTTCTCTTGCAGCTAGATGCATTTCTTGTAAAAGTATGAGGTATTTGGAGAATACATATATTTTTAAGCATATTTTTAAAAGTATTACCCCTCGGAAGTCTGCCCTTGTGGTAAGGGGGCTCACGTATGACTCGATGGGATCAGTGGGGGTTACCTTGGCCCCATTCCCTGTCCCTCTGGGTATTGTGTGTGTGAAGGAGACCAATGTAGGGTATATAATTTACATTATAGGGCATCTGATGCCCTATAATGTAAATTATATATTTAAAATGAGGCTGAGTGTAGTAAGAGGACCTGAGCTAGTTTGTTATACTTTATTGTCATAGGAAAAAAAAAGGATTTTTTATTTGTAAATATTTGTACTGTAAATTAAAAGGCACCAGTCAAAAATAAAAATCTTATACTGTAAATGCATTATAAGCATGGTTTTACATTAATGGCTAAATTGTTCACACTACATTTTCAGGGTTCTGAAAATTTAGAAATGAATTTTTATCATAAGTCATATATATGAAGCTGGAAAAATATAATTACTGTTTAACAGGCCAACTTGACGTGTATGTGGATAATGCAGAGATACACAAAGAGGCCACTGTGTGTGTGTACGGTTTGGGTGAACTTGCGTAGCTGCTTTCATTCCCCAAAAGCATTTTGTAGTGCAGTTTTGTTTAGGGTTTTTGATGATGCAATCATTTTGACTAGGGAAGTCATGCTATTGCAACACTTTTATGACAAAGGTGGCTAAAATATTGTAATAATTAAGTCTACTTAACTTTCAAATTGAAATAAGAACATTTATCACTTGTTTCATCATTTAGTCCATTTCATTTATTTATTTATTTGTTCAGGTTTATCATTGGACTAAAGGAAGAATTGGGACTTTGGAAAATAAAATTTATATAACTGTGACACTACAATATATTCAGCCCTTGCAACTAAATGTGGGGATAAATGGCAAAGTTATTGTTTTACCAGCATTATTGTTACACAAGTTTTGTGACCATTGTTAATGGTGTGTGTGTATATATATATATAATATATATATATATATGCATATGCGGAAAATTCACAGAGAAATGGAAAAGAAAGATGAAAGTTTCGGCCGATCTGGGCCTTTGTCAACACCAGACTGACTGAAAGAAATCACAAAGGAAGAGTGGAGGCAGACACTAGATCCTGACCACCATCTCCTGGGGAAAGAATTAACCAGAAAAAGGTATAGATTAGCTTAGAGTGGTCAGAAAGATTTAAGCGGTAAGAATAAAAGATTAAAGAAAAGGCATCTTCATCCTTGATGCCTTTTTCCCTTTGAAACTCCCTTACCTTGAAGGTTGGCCTCATGCATGTTTGTCCTCATTTTATTTGAGCTGTGTTCATATGGTAAGATCTAAATGGGCATCTGAGAAATTCTTTGGGATTATCCACATGATGATTTGTTCATTACATAAGTGAAGCAGTTGCCATTTGCTGGCCCCCCCAAAATAATAATCGAAATTGTCACAGTATGCATGTACGGGAGACAGTAGAATACATGAAGACATGTAGGAGTATTAATATACTGTAGTATTAATTCAGTTGGTAGATTGGAGTTGGAGTAAGTATAGTGGAGCAGCATGTGATGCAGTGCAAGTGCAGCCAAAGAAGAGAATCATTACTGTAGATAGGGTAACTTCCTCTTCCCGTTCCACCCCTGCTTTGCCAATGGTATTGTTTGACTTATCAAGGTGAATGGATCTGTTAAAAGGAAACACTGTGGAAAAAGATAATTAATGGGTACATAACCTTGGAAGTAAGGGTCTGTTTTTAATGAACTCATGAGACCGGTGGTTTGATACCATTAGCATTTATTTCAAGTAAAGGTCAATAAAGAGGTTTTTCATCTGAGAATTCCCTTAAGGAATAGATGCTAAAAGGTGCTTCATGTAGCTTTACTAAAATAACCCCTTGATTCTGACAGTGTAGAAGCAGTTTACAAAGTGGATATGAATGCTTACATTTTAACCATCAAATTTAGTACTTCATTTCTTTACTACTATTATGTTATTTAATTCCTACAAACATATTTCATTTTAACATTTTCTTGTATGTACCATATGGTTTTACATTTGTTTGTTTTTGTATTCAAAGATATGTACAGTATTCCGTGTAATTTCATTCATAATTACTAAAATTCCTCCCAAGTTCTATTCATCTTTAAATCTTCACATAACTCATTTTATTTATGTGTATATATTTATGGTGCGCTTTCATTGGTCTTTCATATTGAGAGATGTGATCTGATGCTTTTTGTGGTGGGCAATATTCTTTTCTGATTATTATTTAAGTACTCTTTTTCTAATTTTTAAAACTTCATCAAATTTATCAGTAAATGAAAAGTGCTGTGATAACAATTAAATTCAATTATTACACTAAGTGCATTGGCTCTTGTATGGTGCCAGACCATACAAGAAAAGTCAGTGGCCTGGTAAAAGCTCTTCATAATGTTTATGTAGTAAGTCATTAACCATCCTATAGGCAAACAAGATCTTTCTGTGTATTCTTTCTTGCCAGATATTATTTTTGGAAGCATTTACTTTATATTTTAGAAAATTTATATGGCTTCCATAAAAGCAGTTGTGCTTAGAAAATCAGGTTTGCATATACAGTACTGTACTGTACTAAAGTATATGAAAATGCACTTTATAAAGAAGCACTTTATTTATACTGTAGGTGGTGTCACACATTGTGATATTAATTTTACAAAAATATGTATATTAAAGTAATCTTAGAATTTCAAGACCTTTGCACTTATTATAGTTCATCAATTGATGTTATAGTTTATTAATTTTATAAATAAAGTTTTCATATTGATAATCTATAGCAAAATAATATATTAAACAATATAATAAAGCTGTGCAGAATGGGTAATGACAACTTGAAATAATTGTTGGATTCAAATTACTTGACAGAACCAGATTTATAGTTCTCGAACATAGTTTGTCAAATGTTCTTTAAGAAGGCCTACAGTTATTTGGGGGTGACGGTATATACATGCAGGAAGAAAATTAAGTTGAATAATTTATGCTAAAAAGTGTAGTAGAGAGTTCTAAAGGCATGTAGGCCAAGCTATTTCTTAAAAAATATAAGACACCAGGTTTGAAATCCGAGAGCTGAATAATGCAGGAGATATATATATATATATATATATATATATATATATATATATATATATATATATATATATATATATATATATATATATACATACATACATACATACATACATACATACATACATACATACATACATACATACATACATACATACATACATACACTGTACTATAGTTTACCTGGTAGCAGAAAAACAATCCCCATACTATACATTATTGTACAGTATTAATCTTTGTAATTGGTATGATCAGTAGGCAAAGGAAATTTTGGTAGCTAAAATTGTAAATGCTATGAAAAGTTTAGTGTTTGGTCTTATAAGCTAGATTAGGTGAAAGTTGATGAATCCTAGGAAATTGTGTACCAGGGGTAATGGTTTTAATTAAAAAAATTATTTGGCCATTATAAATTATTTGGTTGATTAAAAATTTGCATTGATATTTAAAAAAAATTCAAAGTTGTAAATATTGCACAAGTACGGTGGTGAGACTTGAGTGAAAGTAGATAGTGTATTTCTGTGAGTGAAGCTACTTGGTAATGTATATTTAATTCATGTATACATAATCTGTCCATAATATAATGAGAAGTGTATGTACTTTGTAAACATGCAATACTTAATAAAAAGATAAAAGTAAATAAATAGTATTATTAAATTTAAGCATTATATCATTTGGATATAATGTAATTAAGGTTTTATAGGATGTCGAAAGTGGTATTGCTGCTTTCAATACTGCACCCCGTCATCGCTGCCTGCTGGTAGGTGGAGGTGGCTCCTTCCTGCTATAGCGGTGCATAAGCAAATTGGCCTCCCGCGTGTTTGGGTCTCCATACACCACAAACATTCCTTTATGTTCCTGCATCTAGTTGCTGAGCACATTTACAAACATACTGTTGTTAGCAATAAAAATCCCAAGCAAGGAATAGAACTATAGACTTCCAAAGCTTAGTCTGAAACATTCCTTTGCAGAAGGAGATCCAGCTTAGAAAAAAATGCAGACGGAAAAAATAACGTAAGTGCTTAAGCAGACATGACTATCTCAACAAAGAATAATTTAAACATTGAAGAAGAAGAGACAGCAATTATATCAGAAGAAATGCAAATAGACTAAAATGTTATACATGACAAAAATTCAAAATATTTCATGTGTGAAATCAAAAACCTGTCGGTATTGGACCTATTACAAAACCAATGTTCATTACATATATATGTATGTATATATATATATATATATATATATATATATATATATATATATATATATATATATATATATATATATATATATCTATACATTGCAATGATTTCAGGGCTTAGCGTCTCTTCCATATCCACACTTTTTACAGGTATTAAGATCCTAAAACTATGTTTGCTTTAGTAACTTCTAAGTGGCGTATCTCGAGAGTTTAGCAAACAGGGCTAATTGTTCACTTTGACCTAATGTATTTATATATTTACTGTAAAGAGCATACTATATTAATATACTATATTTGAGCTCTGGCTCTTTCGGCCCGCCTCTCAACTGTCAATCTGTTTTTTGTGTTTTTCTTCACATACACCCCCCAGGAAGCAGCCTGTAACATCTGTCTAACTCCCAAGTACCTATTTACTGCTAGGTGAACAGGTGCAGCAGGGTGAAAGAAACTGCCCATTTGTTTCTGCCATCGTCGGGTTCGATCCCCGGTCCCTAGGATTACGAATTCCGAACGCTGTTCACTCAGCCACCAGGCCCCCTTCAGAATGTGTTTTTGTGTGTAGAGTATGGAAAGTATGTTCTTTCCTTACGTCATTGTCAGCAGACAGTTCACCACTGGAATGGTAGAGGATGGGGGAGGGGTGTCTCGGGCCACATCTTAAACATAGTCCTTCAATAAACCTGTCCTCTCAGTTTATGACCTGCCATTCACTCAGCCCACCACTCAACTCTCACTTCCTTCCCCCCGTCCCTCCCACCACCTCCCCCCACTCTCTCTCACACACAGAAAATGTAAATTACGAAGCACTGAAAAACTTTTAAAACCCTTGGAAAACAAATTGCCGATTTCAGATATATGTGGTACTGGCGCTGACCTCAAATGACCTCTCGTACCTCTCGTGTGTTATCTTAGAAAGTTGGGTCAAACGCTCCAAGCGTCTGACCTACTCTGAACAGAAAAACATACAATCTGTTTTATAGATATAGATTGGTATAACACTCAGTAAACACCAGCGTTAGTCCTGAGATGAGAAATCCTACTTAACCAGCTTATAATTGTATGCTAGGTTGGCAGAAAGCAGAAAGGAAAGTGAAGGGTGAGCCAGCTATTGACAGAAGCCTTTGAACAAAAAACTAGGCTCAACTAACCTACAGAATTAAGAAACATTTCAGTGTATGAAGGATCGTATTATAATGGATAAAGAAACACTACAAACGAGAGGAAGCACGTGATATTTGTGTATGATATCTCAGGAGAAATGAAATCATTCAGTCCGCACAATCACATAGGTTAGTATATATAGGTGAGTACAGTCACACATGAAGCATGGGAACTACCTATGTCAAGCACATTAAGGAAATTGAGATATGAATCCTGAATCTAACATCCCATCGTTAGAAAGAACCAGAGGAGATATGATCATAACATACAAAACACATTGAGTCACTGCTAAAATAGACAGTGACAAACAATTTAACATGAGAGCTCACATGAACTGGTAATTTAATTGAGCCAGACAGCTAAACAAAAATATGCTATGTAAGGAAATTGAACAAGTGGAATGCATCAGAAACGGCGTGTTCTTCCTACACATCATTGTCTTCACTGCTCCCATGGTGACGACGCGCTTCCTTCACCCCATCTTCAGTGATGGAGCCCATCCTCAGACTAAGTCCATTACCATGAGAAACCCCTCTCAAACCTTATTATACATATCCTAGATAAATCCTCGATATCCTAAACCTAGATACTTATCTAGATATTTGTGGACTAAAAGTATATTACGGCTCCAATAATAGTCTACATGTTATTTTATTTTATTTTATTTATTTATTTATATACAAGAAGGTACATTGGGGGTTAAGAGAATACATAGAAATGGTGTTGATTTTACATTCTTGTAAAGCCACTAGCACGCATAGAGCGTCGGGAAAACTGGCAATTAATGTAAACTGACAATTGAACCTTTGTCTTAAAAGGACAAAGTTATTACTTTATTCTCATGTAATAACTTTACTGTATTATATAGCGTTGTTTAAAATATAAAAGTTATATCGTGAAAAACGTTTTCTTTGAAGCATTTGTTTTTCTGTAAAAGGAATTCTTGGGTACAGTTTTCGAATTCCATATTTCACATAATCATCAATAATGCACCATATTAATGTAAACAAACGTAATGAAACCTAACCTAACCAAACCTTAACCTAAAGTAACCTTAACCTAACCTAACCAA